ATTGTTGTCCATATTATTTGTTTATTTTCTTAGTTTGTATCACTTGTGTTTCTTTTTTGTCATTGATTGGGTGTTTTTAATTTGAGGTTCTTTGATCTGTTTTCCTTTTTCCACTTAAATTAATCGTTGGTGTTATATGGTGCTAGTCAAGTTATACCTCAAAACATTTTTTGCGAATTGTTGGTGTTCTGTTTTCCTTTTGAGCTGATTTTATATGCCAGTACACTAAACATGTATAAACTTATTTTTGCTCAGGTCCATTTAGCTTAAGGATTATTAGAGGCTACCATTCGGGGAAAGCTTCGGATCTATGAATCTCGTGAAGATAAAAAAGGGAAAGGTATGTATAATCTTGGTTTTTCTCTTGTGTTATTATACCTTTGGCTTTCAAGAAGAAATCTCTTCGCAATTTTTAATATATTTTTGTGTAAGGTTGTGCTATGAAAATGACTTTGAGCTTAGACTTCGAGATTTTCTTAAAATTATGAATTTATTATTATTATTATTTTGTGGTTGTGTATATGTTTTTTTCATTTTTCTGCAAAGTGCAAAAAATAATATGATTGGGTGAATTAAAACGAATGAAATGAGAATAGTGGAAAAGAATATTTCCAAATAGACCTTAAATTTGGCTTCTTTCTTAGACTAGATTGTTTCTAATAGGTTATGACGTGTTAATTACAAAAACCTTACTAGTTGTTGATGTTTAAGAATTGAAATCATTCAGGTTGTGTGGAAGAAATCTAGGCTGAAGCCCTCAAGTATAATGTCAATTTGATTTTTTCTTTCTTCTAATTTTCATTATGACTTCGAGTTTTGATCTTGTGCAGGCTGTGTTGGATGAAATTGATGCGTGAAGCAAAATAGTTGCTCGAGAAGTGCTTTTGAATGGAGATTTATTTCAAACTTTGTTTCATAATATCATTTGGTGTATTTGTTTCATTGACTTTAAGGAGTGAAAAGATGGAACGATAGTACAATACTATTATCAAATACAATATTCGGGTTCATTTGCTAATGTTAGTTCGCAAAAGATGAAACAGTAACACCAACATTACAGGAAAATTCTTATTAGTATTCATAAGTATTTTGTTTGTTGAAATGCATTTACATTATAAAAAAACCCGCTTCTTGGGCAAAAAACCCGTTTCTTGAGCTCTAGAAAACGTTTCTTGAAAACCTAGAAATCGTTTCTTGAGCTCTAGAACATTTTTTTGTGTCCTAGAAACCATTTCTTGAGCTCTAGAAACTTTTTGTGGAACAAGATACAGTACTTTAATAGCAAATACAATCAAGTTCTCAAAATCGAAATTACCAACCAATAATTCGAGTTTGTGAACAATAGGTTGAGCTTTGATTCAATAATTCGTTTTTTCGTGCCTTTCACATGAGAAAATGTTTCTTCTAATTTTATACAAATTATTTCTTTAAGAAAATGTTACTTTACCACTCCACTTGCGACCTCTCTGCCATCTCCAAGTCCAACCATCACCCGAAAATCATGAAATAATTAATTAATATTATTTTTTAAAAAGTTTCTACTTATTTAAAATTTTAAACAAAAAAAAAAAAAACATAAATACAAATCTGTCAACAAACAGGTTTTTTTTAGCAACAAGAAACAGGTTTCTTGCATGTTTCTTGGGTAAGAAACAGGTTTCTTGAGGAATAAATTGGACTGATTTCTTGAACAAGAAACAGATTTCTTGAGCAAGAAACAAGTTTCTTGAGCTCAAGAAACAGGTTTCTTGAGAAATAAACTTATTTCTTGAACAAGAAACAGGTTTCTTGATCTTGTTCAAGAAACCAGTTTATTCCTCAAGAAACTTGTTTCTTGCACAAGAAACCTATTTCTTGAGCTCAAGAAACAAATTTATTCCTCAAGAAACCTGTTTTTTGTTTCTTGCTCCGCTTCAATTCAAAGTTTAGCTTTTTTTTTTGTACTTTTATTCTGAGTTGAGCATTGTTTTGTTTTGTTTTGTTATGGGTAGAAGTTGGCAATTCTTGGTTTCAATTTAAACACCAACATTACAGGAAAATTCTTATTGGTATTGATAAGTATTTTATCTGTTGAATGCATTTGCATTATAAAAATAAAAAAAAACATTAACAAAATGAGCAAAAAAATCAGTTCCTATATTTGCGTATTTCCAAAATGAACAGAACAATATACACACAGAGACAAGATACAGAAACTAAAGTGCAAGAGAATATGAACTCAGACTCTTATGTAAACCACTGATTACAGTTAGAGTTTGTGCAAGAATATGATCTTTCAAATGAAGGCCTATTCAAGGAAACAAAAAAAAACCAACACTGACATCTGCTCTAAAATTTCCATCACTAACATCTGCTCTAAAAAACAAAGGCTAATATACCAAAGCTTCAGCACCTAAAAAAGTTCTTAAAAAGGAAATCTTTCGGCATTCTAAAATCATTGTAACCTTTCATTCTTGCGTTCCTTTAACCTCTTCTGATTAGCCCCTAATTTATCTTCCGAACTTCACATCGATTTCTTGATCAGGAGCTTGTTTTTTCCAATACTCCGCGCACTCATGATTTGGATCGAGTGCCTCGATTGCCCCAGTACATTATAATCTAAAAATTAGAATTCGTATAAAGGATCAAATTATCATTGAAAATAATACATGTCCCAAGTTGCAATTATGTTTCTAGATGCTCGGTTTATTAAGGGTGTACCTGAACAATGGACAGAGAACGAAAACCAAACATTTTGAGGTCATTGATGCTACTCGAGGGCTGTAGAGTTGGTAATCCTTTCTTGCCCAAATGTATTTGCTTCGTTATTGCTTAACTCTCAGCAGAACCATTTCTTGATATCGCCTTTCACAAATTGATCTCCAATTCCAACTTGGATAGTGCATAGAATACTCAAAGACAGAAGTAGCTCCATCAAATGGTAGCATCACCAAAACTTCTTTCTGACATACAACAATAGGAAAACGACTCAGAGATTCAGAGAACAACAACAGGGGCCCACTTTCGAATTAGATCCTAAAGTTGAAAAAAGATCAACAAGTTACTCGAACGGGCCTTCAAGTGAATGTAATGAACCTCAATGACATGATACAAGAGGTCTTCACAGAAAAGCCTTCTAGTATAATAAATACAACTTAAGCCTAAAGCAATGGTAAAATAATTTCTGGATAGGACTTCAACAAGAATTAATTTATGTTTCACTTGAAAAAACATCAGAAGGACCAACGAGATAAATGTATGATGACTGGAACTTGTTTTATATTATCGAATTTCAAAACTAACCTGGTGGTTCAAATCTTTTGCTTTCTTAGCATATATGCGTGATTCACAAGTTAAGCGGTTGGACATCTGACTGGCCTCTGCAAAATCCAATATTGTCAAATTATAACATAAGATATTCAACGAGAAAACAAATCACCGGGCAAACGATAAAGAAGATAAAGGCAGTCCCATTATTCCATACTATTAAAAAATCACTTACGATCCAACTTTTTCATATTCTAGTAAAACAGCCTAAAAATCTAAATACCTACTTCCACACAATTAAAAAAAAAATATCACAAAATAAAAGAGAATGCCATGGATGAAGATGAAGCTACCTCTTGGAGGAGGCAGTGTCATTGGCAGTTACAGAGATCTTCGACTTGTCCCTGACATGGTAAACAAGTTTCTTGTTCAAGAAAACAGGTTTCTTGTTTAAACTCATGAAATAATTACCCTAAAATCATGAAATAAATAATTAATATTATTTTTTAAACAGTTTCTAGTTTTTTTTAATAAAAATATTTAAATATAAAAAAAAATTAGGACGTAGTATAGAACTGTCCTTGACATTTGGCTTTTTATTTTTTATTTAAAAAAAATCTAGAATCACAACTAAGGCCTCAAGTTATTACTTTTTTCACATACCTATGTCACGCTTCCTCACCATCTTCTTTCACATACCTATGTCACGCTTCATTTTTTATTTGTACGTTTACTCCGTCTAGGTAACTCTCAAGATAACTAAATGTTTCACAAACAACTCATTTGAAAAAATACATTAGGAGCATATATGGAAGAAATTAACCTCAGCTACATGTGTTCCTTGCCAACTGGATCACAAAGCCTTTGGATGATTGGTTGGAACTTACATTTCCATATCTGCAATTGAGCAAATTTTTAAGCAGCAAAACAATCACATTCATAGAAATCAGTTCCAAACCTTGTGCAGATCCATAAAAGTACAGAACTTAATGAGAGTTTTTTCATTAAGTTGGATTAAGACCATTGGAGAAAACACGAATAACAATAAAAATAATATGGCGAGACCTCACAATAAGGCTCAGCCATTACATTAATGGAAAAAGCTCTCTCTATTTTCTTGTCAAGCTTCTCAGAATACAATAATGTAATAAAGCTCTCTCTATTTTCTTGTCAAGCTTCTTGTGAGGTCTTATTGTAATGGTTGAGCGCACAACTCTGAAACTGATACATTGTTAGTACATAAATAACATGCTAGACCCACAATAAGGCTCAACAAACACAAAGCCCAAACAGAGAAAAAATGACATAACATGCTTGCTTAAACTTTCTCCTCTTGATTCTAAGGCATGAAATATATATATCGTGGCTGAAACTAACACATTAATCGCTCATTTTCAGCGAGGTCAACACAACAAAAACTGAGGCTCAAACAACCAACAAATCAAGACAAAAAGGTACCAAAATTCATGCTTTCACTTTCAAACTTCTCAACATTCATGGCATGCTAAAAACACAACTCCCAGCACCAAATTAACATGCTAACAACCCCAACAACACAAGCAGAACAAGAAAGCAAAAAAATTATGCTCACTTATCTCACAGTTTAACCGAATATAAACATGACTCTTTTAAACTGAACTAAGCACATAAAAGCATATGAATTCGGCCAACAAAAGTACAAAGGATGTTGATGCTCCCGAAGGTCGCAGCCCCGTCGGAGATCGAGGGTCGCCGTTCACCTTCTCGCCGGAAAATTGGGGCTCAAGGTCGCGGATTGCTGCTCGTGGTCAGAGGACGTGATTGCTCGTTCACCTTCTCGCCGGAAAATTGGGGATCAAGGTCGCGGCTTGCTGCTTTCATGGCTGTGGGAGGCTAGCTTCGTGAGGAAGATGCTGGGATTTCTTAAGAAACCGCTAGGGCTTTTGCTCTATAATTTCTTTTTCAAATTTTTGGAAATGGGAGAGAAAAAGGGAAAAAGAAGCGGATGAAAACGAATAAAATGAAAATAGAGAAGAGAAAAAAATGAAAAAGGTATACAAGGGCAATTAGGTATTTTTTCAAGCCAAAATAGTTATATTTTATTTTTTTAAAAAAAGTGGCTAGATTTCATTTTTTGTATTGTTGAAGGGCTATAAAGCACCGTTACCACAAGGGATTTATTCCCCAAAAATCTTTCCCTCATTGTAGCCGTGTTGCACCCCTAATTCCCATTTAAATCTCATTATAGATAAGGCATGACTCTTTAATTTCCTATCAACAAAGGACTCTCCAAAAATCACATTTTTCCTTCTTTTTGTTTAGAACATCAGACTTTGGGAGATTATATTCACAATTTTCAGCCATAACACATCTTACCCACAGCCACATTTCAGAGCTTAATCACTAACCCCTCCGCTATAGTTCGTGTGACTGAATCCTTATTTTTTTTCAACCATCAGAAAACAAACACGAATTATCCCTACCAGCATTAACACCAATACCCAACTTCTCCAAAGAACAAACCAAAAGAACTCTGATGCAAATCAAACAGGCGAACCCGACCAAATCGACCCGACGCTCGGTCACGTATTCAGTCGTTAGTCGAGCCTTCACCGAGCCTTGCCAGCGATCAGCCGTACGCGAGAAATGATATCGGTCTCTGTCTGATTTCGATCCATTCAGATCGAGAAGACGCGACCCACCAACCTCTGTTTCCACGGCAGGCCCGCCACTCCACGACAATTCCCCGGCGACTCTCCGTTCGAGCAGATTTCCAGTCACGCGAGCCCTTTCCGCCGTACCCCGTCGTCAGGCCCAGTGGCGATTCTCCGGCCAGCCTCCGCCGTGCATCCCCGCCGTTTGCGCGTCCTCCCTGTCCGCGAACAGCCCTACTTAGCGGCGGTGCAGCAGAGAGTCCCCAACCAACCCACCTTCACGCCGTTACTCCTCTCGGCCGCCTCCGCCGTTTCTCTGCAACGAACCCGCCGTCGCTCGCATAGACGCGAACCGCCGTCGCCCAGGAGTCCCGTGCTCCAGCCTTGTGAACAGCCGCGAACATCTGAAAATCAGCGACGAACCTGGGAGTTCAGGTCGAGAAGACGGTAATTGACCGCCATCTGTTCACGAGCGAACAACCCCTATCGCCGGCAGCAACCGAGAACCCTCAACCGTGCGCGCGACCCGCCTCTGCTGCAACTCTACGAGTCGAGCCATCGGCCCAAAATCGCCATCTCCGCCGCCGAATCGAAACTCGCCGTCGGCCGGTTGAAGCCCGTCAAATCGGACGCCTCAGATCCGGAATTGAAAGGAATTTCAGAAATTGGAAAATTTTGTAAAAAGATTTGAGGTTGCTAATTGGTTTTGATTTGGGGATGGACGATTCCGGAAGAGAAGGAAGACATTGACGGGGAAAAGAAATGAGATAGAGAAAAAGGAGAAAGGAAAAGAAAAGAAAATGGAAAAGGAAAATTAAAATGATTTTGGGCTTTTAATAAAGGAATTGGGCTTATGAGTTGGAGTTGAGCTTTGTGATGGGCCAATGAAATGTAATTGTGGACTAAATCAATTGAGTATTGGAGGAAATTAGACTCGACCCGTCAAAATCCGAGATTCCGTCCAGCCCTAGCCTCGTTTCCTCGTCTCCCCGTTGGAGTGCGGTAATGGGTGGCTTATCCTGGACTTATTTTTGGTGTGTATTTGTATATATGTGCTGCCTTGTTAATACGAGTATGAATTGCCTTATTTGTATTTGTCTTATGTAACGATCTCTTCGATTTTGTGAAATCGAATGAGACATCGTTAAATCCGTGTTAAGTACTGTGGAATTGGAACCATAATGAGTCCTTGGCCTGATGGTGAAGGCCTCGGACAATTTCGATGCTTGCCGAGTTGTATATGAATTTATAAACTCGTATAGTTGCTGATTATGAATTAAATTCGCGATAAATTTTATACTGCTTCGATTAATGTGAAATATTCTGTGTGAGCTCGTCTGTTGATTTTATGGTTTGTGTAAACATTTCAAATTAAATTACCATCGGTAGCTATTTTAATTAATTGTTTTGATTTATGGCAGAATAGTGTAAATTGTATATTAAATTGATCTGTGCTTTGTTTTGGCTGAAATTTGAGTATGTTGTCACTCTGGCATGTTTTCATTTTGTGTAAAATTTTCATGAATTTTAGACTTCGTTTGCCTGGGTTAAAAATTATTTAATGATTTCTGCAGAATCGTAATATAATTATGATAAGTTGACCTGATGTGGTAAGTTGCTAAAATTTGATGTCTAGGCTTTTTTTGTGATGTTTTTCAGTATGTAAAAAGATGGGATTTATTTGGATTTATTTGGGTTTAGTTTTGATGAAAATTGGAAATCTGCATAAATTTGTTTGAATTTTTAAAATTCGTGTATTTATTGTAAATGACTGGAATTTTTATATGATGATATTCACATGCTGAAGTATATGGTGTTAAAATTTCAAGTCGTGATTCGCCCATTAGGTTTGGTTGTTATTCTATGTTCGTTTTTGCTGATAACTTGTGTGAATTTTGAATTAGGGGCTGAAACTTGGTGGTTTTTCAAAGTACTGGGAGGTGTATTTTTGGTTAAAATTTCAGAGTTAAATTCATCGGGAAACCTGACCGACTAATTCCATGTGTTTATTGGTTATTATTTTCAAAAATAAGACTTATGTTAAAACCTGTAAATTGGCTCTTCAACTGTTTCTCGTGTGTTTTGACTTAGTCAATATTTGTTTTGGATTATGTGATCTCCCATGGGTATTTGGTTGCGTCTTAGTGTCGAGTCTAAGTGTTCCAGCGTCCACAGGACTTCACGAACAACTTAGTCGAATCAAGTTCGGCTAAGAATAATTGTGATTTCCTTTTAAGTCAGAATAGATGTTGACTATAGCATCTGGACTTAATGTAGGTGTTTGAGGAGTCAAGCCCTCAACCTACCGACCTGTTTGTGTGACTTCTCTACCGATTTACCAGGTGGGTTTTATTTAAAAATTGTTTATGCTGTAAATGTTATTACTGTTTTAAATTTGGTATGATCAAGTATGCATGTGGAACATGTAGCCTTCGATGTGAGCTGTACCGGCCGTCGGACGGTTATCCCCGTAGCTATAGAACGTACCCGTTGGGTAGTCTCCTTGTTATTGTGAGCCGTAAAACCTGGGTTAAAGGTCCCTGTGCTGGACGTCCCTCGTTGGTAAGACCAATATGAGGCCTTGGCTGGCGGGTTACTCCTACTGGCTGGACACGCGATGTAAGACCGGTGGGCTTTCGATATATAGTCGGCAGTAGTCTATGTTGTAAATATTTTTTCGGAGTAGAATCGAAAGATTCGAACACCGGGTCGTGTCTCACGAGGAAGGTTAGCCGGAATATTCTATACGTTTATTCAAACAAGAAGAGAAACAAAATTTCTAAACATTCTAATTCAGATGGATTGATTTGGATTATTAACTACGAAAAAGACTTCAAATAAGGTAAATAGAAATAGCAAGCAACGACGAAGAACAATCAGGATTTAAGAAGCTAGGGAGTCGAGGATATCCGTTTTGGTTCGAAAATGCAATTATCAAGCAAGAGATTGTTCAGCTAAGTGATTTGAATAATCGACATGTTCAAGTACTCATTCTCAATAACTATTCGTAACAAGAGAACAAACTAGAACGGCAAATTAACAATTCATTTAACTTCTAGGCAATACAATTACGAACAAGCCTAGTTCATACAAGCCTATTTCGACCGACTCCTCCCCTTTCGGTTCTAAGAGTCGATTAAAGTAGACTAGAAGGTGTTTAATCAACTAGTCCGTTTAGAATAACCAACATCAAGCAAGAATATGTCGAACTCAATTGCAAACAATTGGGGATTGAAGTGTCACCTTTCAACAATTCTAAATATTCGAGCCCGACGATTGAACAACCTTATAAAAAGATCAACTCGTATGAATCTGAACAATCCTGAGCCCGACAATCACAAACGATATCAAAACATCAATCCCCTATCCCTAGCATAAGGATTTAGCTACTCATAATCAATCCAACACAAAAAAACATTTCAATAAGACCATTCATATTCATCAATTAAGAGAAAAGATAATCTTACGATAAAATTCCCAAAGTCGAATTCGAAAGACAAGCTTGAATCCAAGAACAATAGCGAAATCCGAGTGTAAATATGAGTTCTACGTCAAAAAATATGAAATAAAAGTGAAAAACGAGGGAAAGAAAAGAGGGGATAGGGTTTCTCGTTTTTGGAGTCGAGAGAAGATGAGAGATGGTCTTCTGTCGCGATCCCGATGCATATATATAGCCACACAGCATCACGGCGCGGGGGTGCGGCCTTGGCGCACGTCTGTTCGGGTCATGGCAGCAGCGCGGCGCGGGGACAGGCTGTGTGATGAGAATGCGGCACGACAACTCAAGAATGCCGCGAGTCGGGCTTATCACGCGAGAAGGAGGTTAGCACGTAGAGGAGGCAACGCGCTAGTACTCGAGGCAGGCATGACCGGGCACGAAGGCGAAGCGCGCGAAGGAATCGAGGACGCAAGCGGCGCGGGCCAAGAGGGCGTGTGGGCACGCGTTGGCGGGGAGACGCACGCGACTATAGTCCTCGAGAGATTAGGAGAAGCGAAGGGGGAAAGAGCACGCGCGCGCGAAGACAAAGATGCCTTAGTCCTCGAGGCATTAGGAGAGGCGGCCAAACGCGAGACCCGTGGCGGCTAGGGTTTTGGACGTGCTGCGCAAGTCAAGGATCTTTAGGATTCTTCTAGATCTTTAGTTTCCTTATTACTTTATGCTTTCTAGATTATTTAGGACTCTTAATATTTTATTGCTTATTTGGTTGTTTAGTTTGATTAGGACTAGATTTACTTTGACGCCTATATAAAGGCCTATGCTCTTGTTATTTTGATCATGCAGAAATATATAAAAAAACCGAACTTTGTTCAAACTCTTTTCTTTAGAATTCTCTACGTTTTCTTTGCAATTAATACTCGAAGGGGCGCGCGAGTGCACCTCCGAACCTATCGTCGTGACCGAGGCGCTTTTGTGGCTCGACCGGCAATCGGGCGCACGATCTCTCATCATTGGTGCTTTCATTGAGAGAGTTTGATCGTGCGTTTTTGTCCCAACTTTTCTTTTAAATTTCGTTGTTAAAAAAAAAAATAAAAAAAAATAATAAGTCCAAATAGTAAAGAGCGAAGGAGGGAGAAGAAAGCCATGACCAACAAAGAGATGGAAGACAAGCTCGAGAACTTAGACGTACAAGTACGTACCATGAGCGAAGCTATGGGCAGTTTTGGCGAAGGGCTCGACTCTACCAAAGCTTCGGTGCGTGATCTCATGGAAATCATGAACCGAAGATTTGATGAGATGGCACGAAGCATCCAACGCCAACCTCACGACCAAGGACGGGGCAGGCGGCCCGATCCACATCATGGCATGCACGAGCACGAGGAAGAGGAGTTCGAGCAGCGGTCCCAAGCCTCGAAGAATCACGATCGACCGCGGGTCGACAAACCGCGACTTACGTTATCCACGTTCACCGGAACTGACCCCGACGCATGGCTCAACCGGGCTGTACAATATTTCGAGCTTAATGAAACGGCCAGGAACGAGTGGGTGCGTTATGCGGCGTATTATTTAGACGGCGAGGCCAACGTATGGTGGCAATGGCTCGCAAGCGTCTACCGCGGAAGGCAACAAGTAATCGAGTGGGAGAATTTCGAACGCGAACTACTCACGCGGTTCGGGACATCCGACTACCTTAATTACGATGAAGCACTTTCGCGCATACGGCAGACTGGAAGTCTACGTGACTACCAGAAGGAGTTTGAAAGGCTCGCATGTCGAGTGCGTGGATGGCCCGAGAGCGCGCTGGTGGGTGCGTTCATTGGCGGGTTAAGATTCGATTTGGCTGCAGAAGTTCGATTGGAAAGACCTGATACGATGCAAAGGGCCATGGAAGTTGCTAGGCGGAGGGAGGACCACCTCGCTGCCACTCGAAGGGGACGGGCGGAGCCGCGGTTCCCCGAGCAGCGTCGTGCACCACCGGGCCTAAACATGCCCTATTCGAATCCTCGACCGCCTAATAATCCTCGACCACCTATACCCGAGGTAAAACGGCTTTCGTTCGAGGAGATGCGTAGGCGACGCGAGAAGGGCCTATGTTTGAAGTGCGAGGAAAAGTTTGTACCAGGCCATCGGTGCAAACAGGCGTTAGTGATCGACGTGGTCGAATCTGACGAGGAGGATCCATTGACGGACGAGCTGGAGGTTGATGAGGTCGAGGCACAAGTAGAGGAGGACGAGATCTCGATGCATGCGAT